AGAGACTGAGTAATAATTCAAACACTGTTGGACACTGTTGGACACACTGTTATCTTCCACTCTTTCTCACTCCTATTTTCAGTAGGACAGATTTTCATTCTTCTTTAGTCTTAAGACTTTTCTCAGTAGGCAGCCCCCTAATGCGTGCTAGAAACCTATTAATACACATCTTATACCAATAAAACTCTAGTTCTGTGCTTTGAATATTCATTTTCTGTCGTGCATAGTGAAAGTCCTAAGTGACTAGTAAAGCTATGAGACAATTATGAACCAACCCAAATAATTTCTCACTACAAGCTTGATGTAAACAGTTAAAATTCTGTTCATCACAACAAGCACACTACCCATGAACAGAATACACATTTTGTCATAATACATACTTTCAAAGTAACATACTATAACAACCACTCTAAGTCAGATGATGCACATTACAGTTCATTTTCATTAACATGGAGCACCCAGAGCAACATAAGAATTAAAAACCAGCTTCTGGATACTCAGAGTGCCTGCAAAACAGGCTCCTAAGCCTAGGAAGGCCACCCTCCCCTATTAAGGTAGATGAAAATACATTACATGAAAATAGATGCTATCTCAGTCATGTTAATACAAGAAAGGAAAACGACTCAGCTGGGATATTTTGTTTTGTAATTTGCCACTACTCTGTGCTTTTCAAATTCTGTTTGCACCATATTTTCCCCTGAGACTGCATCTTAAAATGAATGTAACTAACATTTGAGCTTGTATCTATCTCCTTACACTGGGAGTTTCTTGACTGAGGATGGCATGCAAAGAACATGCAATAATGGTAGCTTTGCCAATTGTTTCCATTTGCCCTAGCAACAACATGGGCTTTTTAGAGATGAGCAAATAGCAATAGTAGCAGTAGTAGTAATAATAATAATAACAATCGTGATAATTCTGTATCTTAGAACTTCTGTTAATTCTTGTCCTACAGTCCTATGTTGAAGCAGTTCAACATGCAAGGAGATTTTCTCACATGCAGTAAAATATAGCAAATAAGAAAGTGGGAAACAGAAAAATTTGGTGCAGAAGCATAATAAAGACACAAGCAAATGATTCATTTCTTCAAAAAAGACTTGTGAATAGCTTTCCATCAATACAGATAGAGAAAGAGGCTAAGCATAGTTTTAGATTACATTTAGCCAATTCCTCATGAAAGTGTCAGATGCAAAGGGCTCAATAAGCTCTCTAACATGGCCTGGCCATTCCATACTGTTAAAACCAATTTACCAGGCTTACTGCGAAACTGCCTTAGAGAAGGCTGCTAAGAAAGGCAAGGACAACAACAGGAACAGGAAGGGTGAAACTAGCTTGCCTGAAAGTGCTGTGATGAGGTGGTGCAGATATATATATGTATCAAAATATCTGATCGAGTAGAGTGAAGTGACTTGAAAAAAATGTAGGTGTCTCTTCACATTCAGACTTCCTTAAAGTTGACAAGATATTATATATAGTTCTTTTATCCTGTCTGCTTTACAGGTCCATGCAACAGTATGTTGACTACATAAACCTGAAAAGCTACTCACACCAAGCAAAAACCTAAACCTATCCACGGTCTGCATAATGATAAAATGCATAATGATAAGGAATAGAAATGTAATTTATTATGTATAAAAGCATTAAACTAAGAAAAAATACTTAATATCCTTTTATATTTTCTTACTTTTGAAGTGATTTATTTTTAATTAAAAAAAATTGACAGCATGTACCCAATTGCTCACCTATAAACATCTGTAGAGAAAACATATATGCTAAAAAGCAATACTTAAATTTGTAGTAGATCTGCATGAGAAACAGTATTCTGTCCCAGGAGAATGAGATAATTTTCTTTGTGGTTGAAATAAAGAAATAAAAAAAGCACTGTAAGATTATTTTTATACTTTGACTTTTACAATATTTTTGTATACTTAGTAAATATTTACATCATTTCTAGCAAAATCATTTACCCAAAGATTACTGACATTATGTCAGCGACTTTCTAAACTTTAAATACAATCTAATTGGGGGATACAAAATGGTCAGCATTTTTGCAAAATCTGTTTGATGAGTAAACATTTTCTAACAGAAAAATTCTTCATCAGAATTTTAAGATGTCAACTGCAATTTGCAAAACAACTGAACTTTTACTACTTAGTACTATTAGTTCAATAGCATCAATACATCATTGAAACTAGGAAACTAAATTCTAATATCTCATTCATCAGCACAAAGAATGAAATCCCCACTTGTGTAATCAATCCCCTTAAGACAAAAATTCATACAGGTCTTTCCTGAGTGAAGAATTTGGTCTATAGAATTCATTTCTGCTGATGATGTGCACAAGGGAAAAAACATAGACTCCTATCAGACCTCAGCTGGAATTTATAGCACTGGTGTTCAGGAAAATTATATTTCCTCCTGTAAATTGAGTAAGTTATACTTGAAGTCATGGAGAAGCAGTAACAAGGCACTGCATGAAGCCAATTTCACAATCGTTTTTCAGAAACTCTGTCCATACCATTCTGAATTCATTGCAGTCCTTTGTAATTGAGGCAGAAGACAAAGGAAAAACTAACTTTTCAGGCCTATTTCCAACATTGTTAAAAACTGTTTTATAGCTGAACATTTCTGAGAGTTGGAGATTTTGTTAAGGAAGATTTAAGTAGCTCTTATAAGCTGTTAATGAAATATGCAAGCAGAACCCTGTGAATTCCAAAACTGTGCAGTCACTTAAATCAACTTGTATTTAAATCCTCAAAGCAAGTGCTTAGCTGCTTTCAGTGGGTGACTACTTTGGCTGTTGTGAGTTATCAGATGCATCAGAAAGATTCACCACAAAGAAATTTGAAAGATGATTTTTTCTCCCATCAAAACATAAATCTAAAAAGCACATGGCAAACTGCTCCCTGTAACTACTCAGAATTTGTTTTACTATCTCCACATACTTTGACTTTTTGACTAATTCCCTCATTCACCTGCAAAGATCTTTGCCATTTCCCTTCTATTTTGTTTTCTTTTCCCCATTTCCTTTCTATTTTTTTTTCATTGAATTCTTCTTTTCTATGCTAACCTTGTGACTGTGATTCCTCGTGACATCTTCCAGTACGTAGAAATGGATAGCAACTATAAATACGTATGTTTGATAGAATGGAAGATGTTCATATGCAGGAGTTTTTAATTTTTAAATCAGTTAATATTTTCATTAAGATATGCTTGATTAGATTAGCTCTACTCATATTTTAACACATTTTCAAAACATTCTCAATAGCTGTTATTATTTTGGTAGCAAACAGCCTTCTATCATGCTTAAATTCAGATTAAGTTACTGAAAATGAAATTGCCAAATTTTGTGGGCACTGTGAGCTGCCCAGCAGATAAGTGCTGTGAAGTACCTGGCAGACATTACAGAGCTGGTGGAAGGCTCAGCAAATATAACCACTGTGAAGCTCTCTATAGATACTAATTGCAGTGTCAAGCTACTGACAGTCCTTACAAACCTTGTCAGTGTTCTGTGGACATTATAAATATCAGCTGAGAACTAGATGGGAATTATAAATTCTGTATCAGAGGTGTGGCAAGGAGTCCTATTTGGAATTAAGGTATGAAAATGTGAGAAATTGCTTTCACTTACCCTGTAAATTTCACAGGCACACAGTCATTGGCAACCTGAGAATACCTATTAATAGTCCTTAATCAATTCTTCTGATCATTCCAGAATTTTCAAAAGGACTTTTCCTGCTGGGAAATGGATCTCTATGAAGATGCCCCTGCTGGGTCTTGATAAATAGCTTGGTATTTGAGTATTGCAGATTTTCAAATGTTCTGTAATATAGGCTACTGGAAACTTCTCTGCCTTTTTCTTACAAGAACCCATCCCTTATTTGCCTCCAGGCAGGTATCTGTTTCCTTAACAATTCAGCTGATAGACCTTCCGCAACTGATATTTACATCCTTTCACATCTCCCCCAAACTGTAAACATCTGCATTAGCTGTTAAAATCATTTAATTTGTTATTACTCCCACCAGCTGTAATGTCCCTTCTGCTACAAATGTGTAGCAACAGCATCATTCCTCTTGTGATTATTAGGATAAAAGAATTTTCTTTTCTTTTGTTTCCATGAGGCATTAGTAAAATCACCATCCCAGCAATTTCCCACTATTCAAGAAAGTCAGAGGTTCAAAAATTTTGTGATTAATCAAGTATGTGTGAAATTATACTTCTGATTACGGAACCTACCAGCATCATCTTAGACAAGGTTTTTTTTCTCTGCAGTATGGGATACTTTCAAAATCTCCGGTTTAGTCTGCTCTTTGCTAGACAGTGCTCAGTGTGAGATGAGTTCTTTTGACTCATTTATACTTTTTTGTTTCCTTCCTCACACCATATCCATCATGTTCCCACCCTAACCATTCTATGATTCTGTATTTGCTGTGGTGAAAAATCTTTTCCAAAAATCAATTTACTTATAGGTCTTCAAATACAAAATTGACCTAACTGCAGCTCACTGCAGGAATTCTGTTCATCCCCAAGACACAGTGCTATAATGTATAGTTACAGATTTATAAAATTGAAAAATACAAGAATGAAATCTGACATTTATGTCATGCTGTCAGAGGTATAACTTGAAAGGAACATTCTATAAATCGCTGTAGGAATCCTCAGTTCACGCTATATACGATGTAGAGCTATCATCATGGTTAATGCTTTAAATCATAATTACATGTTACCTAACATATACACAGGAAAGTGTTGTTTTTGCAGTATATATACATATATAATTTTATATGAAATAAGAAACTTGTATTTTTTTTTTCATTCTCTTTCAGCCTTAGTTCTATCTTCTGTGCCATATACCTGCATTTCTTGTGCCTAAAAGCAATTCAGATTTCTTACTCTTTTTGGCTGTTTGTTTTTGTGGGATTTTTGCATAGGTTTTGGTTTTTAATATTTTCTCTGGATTCTACTTCAGTTTGTAATGTTAAATGAGAGTACAGCTCACCACATATCAGCTGGTTTTCCTTCAGGTTATGAAATGACAGTCCTTGTAAAGCACTGGGGTATGCACAAACTGTTTCCTCCGCTATTCGAACTGAAGCATTTCTGGCCCATTGCAGGACCCATTTTAGATTACAGTCACAAATGAGTGAATCAGTGTTAAAGTGTCTAGAAAGGCAAAGAAAGATCACAATTAGTACACACTGGCAGTTTCCATAAACATATTTTCTTTTGTTAGATTTCAATTATTTAACTCTAAAGAGAACTACTTCTAGGTAGATATATAACTGTGGATCTACAATTATAGATGTATAATTGTAAAGATATCCCAAGACAACTAGTCCACATTCTCCCACTGTTAATGACTTCTGAGACATTGGAAGACATCAAAATTCTGGTTTTGATTACAGAACAGTATGACTGACTACTGAATTAAATTTGAGTATGGGCTACTTTAGAAAGTCATACTGTAACTCACTTCCACTTACACATTTAAGTAGTGGATCTACCTAAGTAAGGATTACCTTAAGTAAGTAAGATCTACCTTTAGATCTCAGAGAGGTACATTTATTATAAATAACTGCAAATTGTTATTATAATGACAGGAAAAATATTTAATGTGTTTTAGTGTATTTATACATTATATGTTGCATGCATAGTTTATATGATGTAATGCATGAAAACACGGAGAGATGTAAGATCAAAGACAAAAAAAAACATGGATACTAGTCAGGATGGCTAGACTGGGCTAGTTATCAATGGGGTCAAGTTGTTAGCACTATCCATTCCACCAGGACAGACAGAAGATGGCAGCTTATCAATAGAGAGCCAGACACTGGTAACAGATCACTGCATATTTTACATTTAGAATGCATTTCTAGAAACTATCCTGTTTGAACTCATATTCAACTGTGCTGTGTTTATTCTCGTGTCTTTCTTGAATATTACAGATTTCTGAACATAATGAATGATACTTACAGTGCTTTCAGAGCTAGCAGCTCAGAAAAAAGTCCATTCATGAGACTTGAAAAAATATTCCCTGACAAGTTCCTAGAAAAAACACAATTTAGAGTCAGTTATAACAAATACAAGAAAACAAAGTTGTTACAGGAGAATTTTCCCCGTGCTAAGAAACTCTGTTTTCTTGACAACAGCAAAAACATATTTAAATTTGTATAGTGCTTTTTCATAAATGACAGCAATATTCAAATCACATAACAAAGTTTTACTTTGTTTTCATAGCAGGTAAACATACAATTCACTTGGTCTAATAAACAGGAATATTTCTACATATTTAATAGAATAGAATCCTGGAAGAAAATATTCTAGAATTTAAGTGACAATATCCACTAAATGATTAGTCAGTGATACCTATGTTGTATTTTTATAGTAGACGTAGAATGTCACTTCCAAGGAAAAGGACTAAAACCAGTGTCTTAATTATCAGAAGAATTCAAGCAATTCCTTAAAACAGTAATGAGCTATCAAAGTAACTACACAAACAGTTTCATTACGAAGGACATTAAACAAACAGATTTTTCCTATCCTTAAATTAAAGACATTTCCATTTTAACTACTGTTTACTATGTCTTGTCTTGATGGCTGAATGGATTAGGCTGAACACTTGAAAACAGATGCAATTCAAATTTGCCTAGTTTAACTGCATTGCTCTGCCAGCACCTTAATAGTATAAAAGGTAAATGCTTAATATCAAGTAACACTGTCTTTTTCTACACCAGTAAACTGAAAAATTAGTGCAGTATCCATATTTATATTTCACAGCATATGAATTACCTACTTCTGAAATACATATATATGTCGCCTTCTATGCAGTGCCTGAAGCCTACATGTCTGAATTCAAGGATGGCTACAAAATTTCAGCTACCAGTGAAACTGCAGATCTCTTCACTGGAGATTTATTGTTACATACAGAAAAAAAAGTACAGACTGGCAAAGGAAATGGTTTAGTTACTTTTTCATTTAAAATGATGTTTTTATAATTATTGATTTTACTTCTCTTATGTCTACAAAGTAAATAATGTATACTAAACTGAAGACCAGGAGCAGTGTTCCATCAGTGAGAAATCTGCGAAAATATGAACCAGCTCCATAAAGTAAGGAAGAATAAAAAGCTCAAGAATCATGCTTTCTTCAGAAACCTGTATAGAAACATATCCATTAATAAATTCAAGAAAGAAGAGAAAATATTGCTAATTTATAGATTAAGAAAGTTATGAAGCATTCTTGAAACAACTGATCTCCTTTTTGCACACAATCAATTTCTCACCACTGAACTAATAATAAAAAAAAAGAAACTGAACTTTGAACACTTCAAATTTGCATAGTAATTTAAAGAAAAATTCTACTAATACAGAAAACAAACTGGTTCAGCAACATTAAGTGAAATTGTTTCTCATTATATTCAGTGACAATGAGATGTGTGGATATAATGGAACTCATTGTTAAGATTTTGTTTAACAGTGCACCTTTAATACAATTGCGATGCAAAGCTCCTGGAAATGGAAGCACTTTTGAGTATCTATCTCTTCAATTGTGGGTATATCTAAAAGTGGAAGTGAATGTTTGCTTGTAGCTGCCTATACCTTTAATATTTTGAATTTATCAACAGGAACTAAAAATACTGAGCATTTCATAAAGACTCAGTTACTTCCTTAAAATTAAATGGATCTACTCATGTGCTTATTGGACATAAGCCCTGACGCATATCCTGAAGCAGCTCAGTGAACTGGGACATTAAATGGACTAAATCAGAAACTGATAACCCTGACATTTACACTGAAGGAAATCAGAAGCGGTTCCACTAATACGTAAGAAGTCACAGTACTATAAACTTACCGACAGAGGACAATCATGCTGAACTGAGGGATGGGGAAAGCAATCTGTCTAGCCTTGTATGAATGGCATCCATAAGTCAGAAATACAGGGGGTTTCTTTTCTCTGCCTTACCCCACTGCAGTATGACAACAATTTTAATCAGATACAAATCCCAGCTTTTCCCTTAAATAGCTAGCCAGGCTTCATACAACAAAACAAAGAGAACACCAAGCCTGAATTCTGGTAATTCCATATGGACCAAAGGAATACTTTACACCTGGTCAATATTTTAAGAAACAGGGAAGAATGATAAGTCATTTCCATGGCTAATATGGCAGGGTCACAGCAGATGTATGGGAGCTATACGCCTGAGCCAGTGTCCATTCTGTCTACTAAACCAATGCCCTTCCCATAGGTCCTACCAAATCCACCAAGGTATCTAGTGAGAACTCACCTACACTGTGCTAACCTAAAAATTCCTAACTCATGTTCCATTTACAGACTTTTGGTTTCTTTTCACTGGGACCACAAAGTACAGACCCATTTTCTTCAGTGGTTTTGCCAAGTGCTGTAATAAATGAGTTACTGACAGTTAAAAGCGAGCAAGACAATTTTCCATATTCTTTCATACTCTTCTAGAAGTGACCTGGCTTGAAGTTTCCATATTACTAGTAATAATTAGCAAACTAGGATCATGTTCATAGGGCTGTGTAAGTCATACAGCAATACATTTCTATGCCCAAGAAACACATAATTACAATATCTAAATCTCAAAAATAAACAACAACAAACCTTGTTTTTTAACAAAACTTTCAGAAATTTTTTCAGATCATCCCCAAAACACAGGCATTTCTGAGCTAGATATCTGCAATACCCTGCAAATGCCTGGATCTGTCAGTTAAGAAAACTTATGTTATATTTTAAAATACAGATATTAGGGTAGTTAGGGTTGGAAAGGACCTTAAGATCATGTAGTTCCAACCCCCCTGCCATGGGCAGGGACACCTCACACTAAATCATATCACCCAAGGCTCTGTCCAACCTGGCCTTGAACACTGCCAGGGATGGGCATTCACAGTGTCCCTTGGCAACCCATTCCAGTGTCTCACCACCCTAACAGTAAAGAACTTCCTCCTTATGTCCAATCGAAATTTCCCCTGTTTTAACCTGTTACCCCTTGTCCTATCACTACAGTCCCTAATGAAGAGTCCCTCCCCAGCATCCCTATAGGCCCCCCTCAGATACTGGAAGGCTGCTATGAGGTCTCCACGCAGCCTTCTCTTCTCCAGGCTGAACAGCCCCAACTCTCTCAGCCTGTTTTCATACAGGAGGTGCTGCAGTCCCCTGATCATCCTCGTGGCCCTCCTCTGGACTTGTTCCAACAGTTCCATGTCCTTTTGATGTTGAGGACACCAGAACTGCACACAATACTCCAAGTGAGGTCTCACGAGAGCAGAGTAGAGGGGCAGGATCACCTCTTTCGACCTGCTGGTCACACTCCTGGGACGCAACCCAGGATACAGTTGGCTTTCTGGGCTGCAAGCGCACACTGAAGCTGGCTCATGTTCATTTTCTCATCGACCAACACCTTCAAGTCCTTCTCCTCAGGGCTGCTCTGAATCTCTTCTCTGCCCAACCTGTAGTTGTACCTGGGACTGCTCCAGTCCAAATGCATAACACTGTGAAATTCCACTGTTTCAGGTATCCTAAAAGCCCATACTGCCTTGGTTTTAAGAGGACATTTGTTCTAAAAACATCTGTATCACATAGTTTGCACACACTTCAAACATATATTAATGCACTTGAAAGCTGATAGCACTTACAACACCATTACCTTAATCCATTAGCAGAAACGTATGCTTTCTGTTTTATCAGAGGTAAAATGTTTTAGTCTTACATACAAGGTCCCACACATTTTTTTCATATACTAAATACTCTTGTGCTTTTACAGAAATTAATAAAACATATCTGCCAAAAGCTTTAATATAAATGACAAACGCTGTAAAATAAAACAAAGGGACTTATGCATCTCGAAGGGCCATTCTGAGCCAAAATATAGGTAGAAGCTGGAGTATATGAATATGAAGAATGCTTCACTCTTATAAGCAGTATTAAAAAGCAAAACCTGAATGCAAGGGTGATAGATTGATCCGTGCAAAAAGACTGGGATAGGAAGCATAAAAAATGACAACAGAAATACAGATAGGGCAGGTTAGGGTGCTTTTTTTTTTTATATTGCTGAAATGGGATCTGTTTGATTCACTGTGTTACTGGTTTTGTGCTTTATTTGTTGCACCATACAAAGTGATTAGCTGCTTCACTGGCAGCAAGAAAGTCACACAAGAATTTATGGTATAGTATTATCATAAAGGTAACTTCTGATGATGATTCGGAGAAGGAATGAAGAATAAATCAGATACACTTTAATCAAACAACTGCAAATAAGAAGGAAGTTCTGTTTCAAACTTCCAGAAGGAAGGTCCAGCAGTGGCTACTCGTTGAAACAAATCTAAGGGTGCAACAGTTCAGAACCTGAAGAACTAACTATGCTCCATCCCTGGCTGTGTTCAAAGCCAGGCTGGACAAAACCTTGGGTGACATGGTCTAGTGTGTGGTGTCCCTGGCCAAGGCACAGGGGTTGGAATTAGATGGTCTTAAGGTCCTTTCCAACCCTAACTATTCTATGATTCCATGAGTCAATGGGGGACTAAAGAAATGAAATCTGATATATCGGTACGGTGGCATCATCCCAGTATTTCACAGCTCTTGATATTTTGATTAAATATAAACAGAATTAATGTGCATGGCAGCTCCATTACCTAGCAAAAATATGTTTGCATACACAATTCTAAAACAAACCACTGAAACATGGCCACTGAGGGGCCAAAGGAGATTTGGAAGATTTGTTGCATTTAATTATGTCACTCCTAGTTAGAATACATGCACCTCATCACAGCATAAACACAGCCAAAGGGTAATATATAAGCCAAAAAAGTTAAGCTAATATCTTAGAAGACATAATAAATCTTCTCTTATACTGTCTGAGGCACTGTCAGCTGCATCTGTCATTATGTGAAAGCATTTTGGAATAATTTTCCAGAGTACAATTCATCAAATCCAAGAAGGTGCAAAAATTAGATCAGTCTCAAGGAACATAATCACAACTCAGTGGCTGCAGTAATTTCAGGAGCTGTGTGAAATTTTAGATTTCATTAGTAACTGGAAATTAAATTCCTATTCACTGAAATACCCATCCTGACTTCAATCAGAGTAAAAGTCTTCTTTTCTACATTATCGAGAAGCTTACAATTTTTATGGTTTCTGTATGTGCACATGCTTTCAAAACAATACTAGATGATGCTACTAATTAATCTCAAGAATTTCTAAAATAGAATGAACAAACCTGAAAAGCCCTGTGAAGAGTGTTTATATTATCCCTGAAAGCTCAGGCTATTCTCACCCTTCATTTTAGCAATGTACACGGTATTGAAACATACCTTTACCATAGTTTAGATATATGCATTACATCATTTGGTTAAATATCTTATTTTGGCTTGGGCCTAGAGCTGATTTTTCAGCCTTTATTATGTTTTTTTTAAACTGAATTAGATTTACAGGACTGAGTGAAATATGCTGTGTTATTTTCACCTGGTATTTGTGCTTGTAAACAGTATAAGAAAATCTCATCTCTGTACTTCAAGGAAGGTGCATGTGAAGATTTATGTCCTTTGGTCCTTCCAGTGGACTCACGGCTCTCCCTACTGGTTTTGGTAACAGCCTGCAAAGATCCTTCTGTAATTTACCTCTGCTAACATAACACAGGAGAGCTCTAATTATCACAATCAACAGCTGCATGAATCAACGTATCTGCGTATATCTTTATATGGCTCCTTCAGTAATCTAAAGCACATTTGATGGCTCAGAAACCAGTTCCATGTTTAAGAACTTGTCATCTTTTCCCTAGTACAATTACACTGATGTTACACTAAGTAAATACTTCTTCATAACCTTTTCAGAGAACAGCTTTCTGATAAGCCTGAAATGACAAGTAAACACAATTCAGAGGCATCAGTAGCAAGAGAAAATGTCTTACTGTGTTTTAAACACATCTAAAAAGTCTGATTCTCGGAACTCTGCATGAACTTCCAAGGGGAAAACAAGCTACGAAGTGTTAGAAAAGTACCAGGTGGCATTAGCTTGCAGTCAATGAACAATCACCAGTTCTCACACCAGAGGCAAATCAAAATCCCAGCTCACATAATTACTATTAGCATTATGTTATTATATGAGATTTCTGAAATTGAGGAACAAATGACATTACAAACAGTAGGAAACTGTTTCTCTTGATTGAGATTGTAGTTGCATTTCTTCACAAAATAATCACTGACCATCAACAGTAATGGTACTCATGACTTTGGTTTGGCAAGGAGGACAGTCCCTACAAAAGAGAAAGTCGTAACTTTTGACATAGCAATCATGAACTGATTTACTTTGGGTAAAAGGGGAATTTAGAATTATCTGTTACTGTGCCTCTGATTTCCAAAGGTAAGACTTGGGAAAAAAAAAAGCAACTAGTGAAGAACTACAAAAGTGCATGAACTGGAATTGCAGAATGGCCCCATTTGTTCAGTCAGTGGTAGAAAGGCAATTTAAAACCCATACAGGAAAAATGTGAGATAGACTACATGGATCAATAACCAAATCTTGTATCTTGAAAACGTAATTCAAGTTTTAAAAAGATCAAAGGAATATAGAGACTATAATGAACAGGAAAAGGTTAGCAGAAAGACAGAACACATGGAGGGAAGATAAGAAATGCCAAAATTTAAGATGGAACATACACTAAAACTTGGTGCAAAGGACACTTTAACAATATTACTGTGTTACAAGTAAGAAATTGTTGCGTTTCCTTACCATCACAAGACTGAAATTGTGTATTTAACTTCTAACTAGCCTTTATGCTGGAGTCTGGAAGATTTACGAATGCAGTTTTTAGACATGTTTTCCTGAGCATCTAGAAGCACCTTCCATTAAATGAGGCGACTTCTCAATTTTGAATTAAACATACCCTCTATGTTAATCTAGCTATATAGTCACAGCCATGTTCACTGTGCACAACAAAAGGAGACTCAGCAGCCCTCAACAGGTAACTTGGGCTTGCCCAAATTGGACAAGTATCTGAGATGAGTAAAAAGAGGGGCAATATGCAGCTGTTCAGCAACATGCTATCAAAGCTCCTCCCATCATACGTTCTCACTTGTTTTCATCAGAGATTTGGCAGTTACTCTCATTAAGTGATCAGTAAGCATGCCAGATTTCAGCCTTTTACCTGGTGTCAACTTGACCTCATGGCAGATCTTTCTAGAAAGGTTTCCCTGTTTTTCCAAGGAAATGCCAGAACTGGCTGGAGAAGAAGAAAATAAAGTGTGAGACTTGTAACACACTATGATGCAGTATAGGAATTTACTTCCCTTTCAAGAATAAAGACAAATGTGAAAGAAGATAGGGAGTCCTCCTGGGTCTGAGCAAATGCCCATTTAAACCAGGCCCCTTCCTATGAATTGTCTCTTTCCCAACCAGGAAAGTCACAGCCAACTAACTCCTAATACTTGCCTACGCTGTACCACACCTTTGGCCGCTCCTTTTCCTTCTCTGAACCTTTTCTGGTTTTGGACATCTTTTTGGTCAAGAATTCATTTTCTTTGCCTTTTTCTGCATAGTACAATGGATGCTCTCCAGTCTGTTCTCTCTTCCTTTAATAATAACCCCAAACTAATTTTTTAAATGATACTGAGCAGATGTTTTTATGGCATTATCTACTATCATCTCAAAACATCTTTCCTGCCTTTTAATGGTTAGCTCAGAACAAATTTGGTTTTTCCCCCCTTGCATCATTTAATATTTATCTACATTAAATTTCATCTGCCATTTTACTGCCTAGTCTTGGAGTGCTGAATGTTACTTCTGTCCTTCTTGAAAATCAATCACTGCCTCTAATTCTCTGGTTAACCTAGTATCTACTAGCAGACTTTGTCATCACACATTTCATCTCTTCTTCCAGATTATTTGATTCTCCCTATCTACTATTATAATCTCATATTTTAGGAGTGCTCTTTCTAGAATAGCCTGATAATCTATTTCTCTATTTAAAATATCAAGTCATCACAATCAAAGGCTCTGGAGATGGTTGGGGTTTTTTTTTTAGTACAAATCCTGTAATTTTCTTAGAATGAGTGTTTATTGCCAGCTGTACTCAGGTAACCAATATGATAGTTTGGATTCCTCTTGTTTAAAACAAAAGTGGTATTATACTCACAGTTTGTGGAGACTGTTAAGTCCAACAAACATTTCTGGTGTTAGGCAACCAATTCTGTTATTTGAAAGATCCCTGGAAAAAAAACAAACAAAACCCATTAAACATTAAGGCTTATTCATGTACACACCTATGTAATCACATACAGCCTCTTTATTCTTAACAGTTTAGGACTCAGAGACAAATGAGAAATAAATGTAACTGAATTAAATAGATTTAGCAACTTTCATAATAACATTATTAACCAATATTTCACAATTAAACTTATCATACTGCAACTTATACTAATTGCATTAAAATGTGATTTTTACATGAGTAGCAAATAAAAAGCAGAAGTTATTTGCAATATAAAGAATTTCCTTTCTCAAAGTTATTAGCACCTGTTTACTTATGAAAAATACTATGCATTTTGTGGCATGCAATATTCAGCCAAAATTTACCTATTTTTACTGTGTACTAATATCTCATCTCATTGATAGCATCTGTTCTTGCTGAAGAAATCACAGAAACCAGAGGGCAAATATTTTTAGAGCTAGTAAGGTCAGTCTTGATAAGCATTTCGCAAGCTCTTTTAAGAGCAATATAGTGGCTGTGTCAGAACAGAAACAGTACTATGCATTATGATCCATAACTCTTGCCTGCAGAAAGGTAAATTAATGTTTTCTGAACAAGTCATACATACAACATAATGTACAGGATACCTACAGGAAGGAGACAAAAATATGTGTGAACAATTATATTGTGATAACAGCATGAATACTACCTCTTGGTGCATTCTGAACTAGTGTATAATTTTTACATATTAGGTTTTCAACCCTGACTCAAATTTTCCTTCCTATCAAGTATGGGTTTTTAGAAATAACTGCAGTAATGTAAGAATCTTAAGTGATTATACATCCATTAAAATGTTAAAATTGATCTGAATATATGTTCCTTCTACTGTGAATGGTAGTCTTCCAATTCCTTTGTTACATTGTGCATATTCCCTATCTTCTATTGTTACAGGAGAACACTAAAGTTATCAAACAGGATAATAAAGGTTGTAGCTTGACAAATCCAGTTATTGCTTTCATAGAGATATATCCAATTAGGTAGAATGTGAAGGCAACTTCTTTAGAATTCACTACAAAGTCTTCTTCTATCAGGCAAAGAATATATTAGAATGAAAATCTTCCTTAAATGCTTATCAGGGATATTAAGTGAGAAACTAATGTAGATAACATCATAACACAATAATTACATATTAAGCATTGCTCTTTAAGTTCTAATAGCGAAAGCTACATTAAAAAAATCTAAAAATACAATTTTAAGACAAAGAAACATAGATGCATATACCAATATGTATATCTATAAATCTTTCTATTAGAAGAGGTAAATAGTAAACAAGAACCTACCCAAAATTCTTGGTTGGGTAATGCTTTACTTCTGCCTAAGCAAAGTCTGAGCACATACGAAAGAAATGTGTCACTATGCGAGACCTAACTTGGGTAGCAAAAGTAAATTTAATCTGAACTAATCAAAACAGGTGCATATTTCTGTAAGAGCAGCACACAGAAAAAATTGGTATTTTTATCAAAGTGAAAGGCTAAGCACCCATTTCTCAAAGTTTATTTCAATGAGTGTTATTTTCACAATTATATATATGGCAGTAGCTGAAATCTCTGCATGTAAAACATGTTTTCTAAACAAGCATTAGTAAAAAGAAAAGACAGTTTGCTGCACATTCCTCCAGATTAATACATGTTCTGTAAGACGTAATTCAATTCATAATGTACAAAGCTGGTGTTCCTATTCAGGAGTAAGACATTTAACTTACTAATGCTGACTTGCAAAATTGATTTTAAGAGAAAACAAAACTCTTCTCTGTTGAATAGCCATGTGCCATAATTTTATTGCTTTATAATTTTCAATTTTCATCAATTTTGTATGTACCTCTTTGAGTAAACCCTTGAAATGATTCAGCTTGTCATTCAAACCCAAATTATAACTGTTCCCCAAATAATTCACAGAAAACATTTTGATGCTGACAGCCTGCAGTTTGTCTGACTTGCCATACCCATATCTCTTGCTGTTGCTCATAATAAATCAACTTCTGATTTTCACAGCATCATTTATATTTTAGATGTGAAATAAAATGTGAATGTAAAGCACAGTGTTAAAATAATTACTGTATTCAGCATTCAACAGGAGTTTACACTACTTACTCCTTTTGCTCAACTGCCTCTCCCCTACAGTTGCAGTAATGAAATGCAGAGATGTTCACCATGTTTACTCCAATTTGTATCTTTTATGTGGCAGGACAGCAATTGCTTGATTACTTGTCTTTAGATTGCTCCCAGTGTTATTTGTTCATATCACCAACAGGGCTGGGTTTTTTAAGATCTAGCATGATAAATCTCAACATTGCCATTCCTAGTTTGCTGAAGTCTTTTCTTCTCACTTTTCCCAGTGGCTAATGACTTCCCCTTCCTTGACTCGCCTCCCCTGACTGACCTAAGGCTCCACCTGTGCAGTCCTCAGATGTACAGCCCATGACTTGCCCAGGTTTCCTGGTTTTCCCACAAGAGGTCAGGGTTGTGTTATTAGAATATGCAGCCAAAGCAACAATTACAGCTCAGTTTGATCATTTCATTGTATTGTTATCCCTGTATACAGCGTAAGAAAGAAAGTTTCACCTAATGTTTTTCTTTCTATTAGAAATATATATGCTACTCTGACTTCATCACTATCATGTCATTCGCTTTCTAACACACATAAAACTTACTGGTTGGTGTTAGAAAATACTGCTACCCGCACAATCACAGATGGAAATCTTTTACTTAGGTTGTGCAGTGTTCCCTGCAGGTAGCAGTTAGGGGAATCCAGCCTCAGAAGAAAAAAGAAAAATTTGTACATTTCCTTTTCTTTTTCTGTGGATTTGCATTCTTTCTCATCTAAATATTCCCATTCCACAAAAATAATCAGTGTTTTCTCATGTGTTTTCTCATCACACATAAGGCAGCACACACGATGTCTAGGCAGATTTTTTGAACGTGCTGATGTCCTGGTTAGTCAGGACATAGACATGTGAATGCCATCACCTGGAAAATTATAAATTAAAAAGAGTTCATCTCACTCTTCCTTTAGGCTAGGTACAAATAAGGAGGGTCGGTAGTCCTTGTTAATTAAAAGCAAAAAGGCCCTCTGCTAGGATCTTAGTAACTTCTACAAATGTAGTTTAAAAATCAACCAGTGCTTTCAAATGTGCTAAAAGGACATTTTCAAAGACAGGAATGAAGGAATGATGAAGAGGAAATACATTACATAAGCCTTGCTTCCACCGAAAACTATGTTAAAAATAAAAAATATCAAGCATAGTCAATGTGAGAGGCATGAATACGGTAGACAAATTCTAAAGCATGGCAGTTTCTTTCTAAGAGTTCATTTTACAGACCTGGTCTGTGGTAAAAGTAAAGTAGAACTTATGCAATGAAAAAACACAGCACAGCACAAAACACTGTTTACACGTACTTAAATCACTCAGTTTTATTTGTGATTAACTTCCCTAGTAAAATGCTGCCTCTTAAGTCATCCATTAGGCATGTTTTTTAACTTTGTAGATGTACTTGTGAGGATATTTAATGGAGAGCAAATAGATAATTTTGAATGGGAAAGGGTAAAAAAGGGGGGAAATTTAAAAAAAAACACAACACCACAAACAAACAAGAAAGGAAAAAAATAAAAAAGCAAAAGAAGAAAAAGCCATAGTAAATTTTAAAAAGCACAGTGTGATTTCCATTTTACAGCCAGTGCCCTTACGTGATTATTGCTTGGTGGCCTATTTGAGTTGTCCAAGGATAGAAATGTCGATACAAACGCAATTTTCAGAATAATTCAAATGGAATTAATACTCACAGGCGCTTCAGTTCTGAAAGTCCATGGAAGGCCCCTGGCTCAATTGTGCTGATCAAATTATTCTTCAGATCTCTAGAGAGACATAATAGGAGGAGCAATTAATTATCGCTTTACCTACCCTTATACACAAGGTGTGTGAAATGCAATGCAATTCCTAACCTTTGTCTTAGGTAAAACCAAAAATGAATTTCTTTTAAATAATAACATAAAAAACATTGCAGCATTTGCAGCTTATAAAAATATATTTTCCCAAGTAAGATGGTTAAGAACAGATGTTAAAAAAAAACAACAAACCAAAAGAACTGCTTGCTTTAATTCTTCTCCTATTTATACTTCTCAAAACAAGCTTACCAGCCATTTTGCCCTAGGAAAGATATTTTAATCAATGAGTGACTAAAACAGCAGAGCAAGAGCTTTTTAGTTGGCTTATTCATTGTGCTGGGCACTTTACACTTGATAAATTTCTCATTTCCACCTAATACAGGCAAAGCAGGTGGCACATGAGACATGAACAGACAGGTCTGGTTTCTGTCCTGAAACATAAGTGATTTCTCATATTTGGCAGTTAGGTGCTTCATTTTGCACTTGCTGACAATTCAGAAGATCGGTTCTTGCACAGATAAAGAATATTTCACTGGCATTAGTAATCTCATCTGCTCCTGGCACAGTGCCTGGGGCTATGACATTGCTTTCAGCTGAGTCCCCACAGAGATTTAGTGCTGAATTGTCTCAAGACTCTAGTGATGTGAACCCTGAGGAAATGCCTTCAGTGAAATTAGATAAGCAGGCTTAGGAGATAAATGCTGTAAATTCTTGTAGAGTCAGTGTTCATCTTCTGACAATTTGCAATTCATGGGCAATGACTGGTGCATGGTAATATCAGTGTTGTTTCTCAGACTGGCCACTTCCAGGATATTACAGCACATTCACTACTTGACTCTGCCCAAGTATGGATGTATCAACAGTCACATGAGTCATCTTATTTATGACTTTTTATTTTATTGCAAATAAAATGCACAGTAGGAGAAATCTTTGTTCCACAAGCTGTGATTGCCCTCAATAGTGCAAACTTTCATCCCAAATGGTCAGTTCATATTTTAATTTCAAAATCAAAATCATTAATAAATAATTCTGTATTTTGTAGTCGTTTTTGCAGATTTTCTAAACAGAATTACAAAAATTTGTGCATTGTACCCATTTAATTTTAGTGAGGATGATGATGAATGCTACGTTCCTAACAAAGATAGGGGCTCTTAATGGTCAAGTTCAGCTTTCAGCTTGGACCATACAACACTGAGTCATTAAGAAGGTGACAAGAAATTCTGATTACATATGCACAAGATGCTTTGTCTTACATACAAGAAATGCAGAGCTACCAAAAGCACAGCAGACCAAAACTGTAATTTTGATGGGGAAAAACCCATAACCCACCAACAAACTGGAATACCAGTTTAATTTAGAAAATATAGATATTCAGTTGCTTCAGATGTAAAATCCTAACTGTAAACAAGAATCAAGATAATAACTTAGATTTTGTTAACATTTACTCAGCTTAAAGTTTATGCTACATAAATCAGTGAGGCATGATACACAGGAATGACACATGGCAATGTCACCTGTCCAGTAAATTCAGATTACCATTTCTTCTTTCTTCCAGCTTGGTCTACAAAAATACTGTACAATGACTATGTATTTTACTTGATCTTGTGATGTTATTGTAAAAAAAGCAAAGAAACAGAAGAAAGATGGGAAAACTGAAATTAGACTATAGTCTATGTTTTGAGTCTTTTGAAAATGTAAGTAGAGAAAGCATATAGGCTTACTTCTTAAGAATGCCTGTGATTAAGTAACTTAACTGAAGTTACAAGCATTCATAAAGCTATGAAACACATTAGAGTTTTTAGCCATGAATGTCTGAACTCAGAGTTCTAGTTTCTTACTGTTTTCATCTTGGCTTGTTTTAGGTATTTCAAAGTTCCTTTTTTTCCAGTTGCTTTTTTCACTAACAAACCATTATCTGTTCATTATGCAAAGAATGGGCTCATCTCAGCCCAACACAAATACAATGAATATTACAAGAACATACTATACATACTACAGGAACATAAAGATGCACCAACTAGTCCAGCTGTCCAGTATCAATGCAACTTTTAAACATTGATGTATGAATATACCCATATATAGATACTTTAAGCATGCACATTACATGTCATAGGTCATTTGTATTTGCTGGAGCCACAATGGCAGTCTCTCACTCATTGCTAAGCTAGTAATAAGCATAGAACCCAGAAGTGCTTCCTTCAGTACTGCTCTGGTACAGTACAAAGATAAGTATGTCTGTACTGCCTGGGAAAGGGAGTGATTCAGAGCCCATGAATTTCCCCATAGTCAAAATAAACCAGCAATATAAGTCAGAGGCAAGGGTAGAAAAGGTGGCAGAGAGGCGAGGGGGGCAGGCAGAAGGGAAAGTGTCAAAGTGTTCATTCAGGAGACAGGTGACAGCAAAAGGAGCAGAGGTTGGGCGAGGACCTTTATGGTGATTTGGGCATTCATAAGAAAGTTGCACAGTCTATGACTAATTTCAGGCATAGAAAGTTCTTTCCTTTTTCTTGGAAATCACAAATAAGGCAGAAATACAACATTAAGGTTGGTGCTTGCACTGATTCTTAGCTGGCAAAGCATAGAAGAACCCCACAGACAACAGAGAGGAAACAGTGGCTACAGCCATCCTCCTGTGGCTATTCTGTCCTTCTCCCTATTCTCTAATCCAGGCAAAGCAGTTTTCTTCCTTAATTTGTCCTCTTCCCTTCTACTGTATGTGGATGAAAGGGAGAATAGCCGATTTAATCACAAAGGAAATACAGGGATGATGTTTCTTACGAAAACACTCTCTACGAATTGGAAGAAGCTTTGGGGCTTGGTTGTTTGAGGTTTTTTTTCTTGCTTTTTGTTTTCTACATTTTGTGGTCAAAAATTTTCATCTTAGTTCCCTGGTACCAGCAGCAGCTACCAGATTCATCTTCTGCCTTTCTCTGCTCAAGAAGTTATGACATCTCTTTAACTCCAAATTTGACACACCTTCTCAGACACAAAACTGTTCATACAAAATTTTGCAGTCTTCTCTGAAGTCCCATCATTTTGCAAAGACATGTCAATATATTTGTAAAAGCTATTCTACATGAGTGTGTTTCCTGTTGATGGTTTAGGATTTTTGCTGTGTGGGTGAGCAAAGCCTTATTTTTATTAATCTTCAAGTATTCCATACTCTGGTTCAGTTCACACCAAACATTAGGGCTTAGCTTTCTCTAGGCAGCACTACTGCTTGTACAGTATGTTAAATATGTAACTACTAAGGCTGAAGAAAGTTCTTTAACTTGCAGAAGAGTCTGTGTGGAAAAGTCTGAAAGGACACTGTTCTTGTGTGAACTCTGTACACTAAAAACTTAAAAGACGAACAAACAAACCAAAACCCAAATCCAATACTATAAATCCTTTGGATCTATGCTGATTTACACTGTGACACATTTGAAAACCACTTAAGCAGCACAGTTTGGAGGAAATATCCACATTTTAGGCAGGGGAAACTGACAGGTTTAATTATCAATCTTTGTATCAATTACGCACATTCTGTGTTAACTCACAACTCAACTAAATGCTCTACAAGTTCTAAGTAAGAGATGTGATCACCTCTTATAGCAAACAGCGGTTACAGCTTACAACAAATAGAGTCAGTATGAGTAGTGAACTGTATGCAAGTTTTAATGCCAGTCAAAATAACCAAGTAGACAAAAGGTCTCCCATTTACTGCAATCCTCTATCTTCTAGTTTATGGAAACTCTGCACTGTTTCCCCGTAACTTGTAACCACATAGGAAAAAACAGTATAATCCTAAACTATCATCTACGGGAAGAAAAAAAGCCAGCTTAATGTTAGTAGAAGGCAGACCATTTCAAGGAAAAGTGTCCATCACTTGCACTGTCCCAAACAAGACATCTGGTCTCCTTATTTTGGAAATTACACTTAAATTAGGTAGGTCATTTTAGTAAGGATATTCTCAGAAAATTGTAGATGATTATACTACCCACAATCCTGGCACTTTCTTAGTAATTAGTATTATTCCATAATGTTTCCATATACTTCTGGCCTAACAAAATAGATGTTTTCTTCCTTGTTCTCCTTGATAACTAAAATGTGATTAAAATAAACAAAATTATCACAACTGTTAATCGCTTCCAATTCTTACTTCTACATTAGGAAAATCTATTATCTTGCCTCCCACTTGTATTTTTTACAAAATTAATTTCATTAAAATACTAAATTAGTTTCTCCCATTTTCTAATTTAGCAGAGGCTTTGTTATAGTGAAGCCTTATGGCAATGAGTATCAACTTTCACTGAGCTAAATAAAGAAACCAGAGTAAATTTGGTTGTATGTTTACATTTTTTCCCCAAGAGCTACTGCTGAGGTTTGGCAAAAGGTCATGATCCAAGGCATGCCAAACAGCAGCCCAGCCTGGGCCACACACATACACATATGAATACATAGCATGCAAGTGATTTTAACATCAGCCAAAAGCAAGAGAAAAGGGAAAGAACCCCAGTATCATAATACTGAATGACCACAGCATGACCCAGTTAATGTCCAAAATGAAAGCATTTTCTAACTAACAGTTATGGTTTTGCATCATTTCTGATGTACCATTCTAACTTTAAAGTACCCATTCTGAATCTGAATGACGTGTCATTAGTGGTGTGGGTGTATATATCTAGTGGCGTGACCTGAAAATAAATCAAAACCAAGTGCCTTGTAACAAGTACAGATAGATGGAAGCTGCATGAAGTTAGCTGTAGTCGTAACAACTGCAGCACTTCCATCAAGGCTGCACAGCTGTATAAAAATAAAATGCTACAGTATTTATTGAAATGTTTCCCCTAATTTTATTAGGGTTGCTAGATACACTTGCAGCATGGTATTCCAATCTTAACAAAACCTGAATAAATAAACTAAAAATATAGGATGAACCATGTTATCATTAAAAACCAATCTCAGGCGGTTTCATTAAGTTAACAGAA